CTTGCGCCGTGCCGGGTGCTGTCGACCCTGGTCAGTGCGTCACGTGCACGATCCAATAGATTTAAAGGCCATTGTGCTCTGATTCTGGAGTGCTGTGATGCTTGTATAAGGAGACGGTGGCCTGTGTTTCAATTTGGACGGCTTGACATATGATTTACATAATAAACCTCGTTACCATTTCCACTATGAAATGCAGGGCCTTAAGGTCCCTATTTAAAAACAAAACAAAAAGAACACAGACACACACATGTAGTAAAATCCGTTTTGGAGCATGTCCGAGCATTTTGTAGAGACCCATTTTGTAGTGGAAATTAGTGATCTGGAGGTCTGGAAGGCCTTTTGTAAGACAGGACTTCTGAGCTCAAGCAGAGGTATGCACCCCATTCTGTAGTAAAATCCACTGGTTTTGACAAGCTTCAGGTGCTGAGGTATGGAGCCCATGTTGTAGAGGAATGCTGTGTTTGTTGAGGAGTAACCGAAAGAGCGCCAGATAGAAAATGATAGAAAGCGTCAAACACTGGCCGCGCCACCCAACGCTGTTGTCAAGAAAGTGTGGGCTCCTCCGGGTCTAATAATTGATAGTTCAATTCAACCCCCCCCTTTGAATTGATGTTTCCCCGGATACAGTAGCTGCAGGCTATAGGGGTTCTAACTTCTCAATGATGTGGCTCTGGACTGCTGCCGTGCTGATGCAGGTGCAGGTGCTGGCTCTGGATCGGCGTTTTGGTTTGCAGGTGCTGCTGCCGTGCTGATGCAGGTGCAGGTGCTGGCTGTGGATCGCCGTTTTGGTTTTGCGCGTGCATGCTGCCGTGCTGATGCTGGCACATGTGCAGGTGCTGGCTTTGGATCTCGTGTTGATTTTGCAGGCATTGCTGCCATGTGCAGGCGCAGGTATGGTGCAGGTGCTGTCTCTGGATCGGCGTTTTGGCTTTGCCGCTTCTGCTGCCGTGCTGATGCCGGCGCTGGTTTTGGATCCGAGTATCGTTTTGCGGGCGTTGCGGACGTGCCAGCGCTGGTGCTGGGGTGGCCGAAGCTGGTGCCGTGCTGGTGCTGGCGCAGGAGCTGACATCATGACAGGCGTGACATCATGTCATCCCTGATGCCCAGAAGACATCATGGCATGCCGAGGGACGAGCTAGGTATGACACCATGTCATGCCAGGGAAGACATCTTCTCTTGCCAAGGGTGACCATGTCACGAAAGGTAGCGGTTACGCTACCTGAGTTTTCCCTGTGCTTTCGCAAAAATGAATTATAACCAGAGTGGAGGCCTGTCTCACAGAGAGTCGCCCTCCGACATTTCATTTTAGAGGCTGGGCCCCCCCCCTTTCAATTCCACCCTGGCACGGCTCTTTGTCAACGGCTAGAAAACACCGTAAGGACCAGTGTTTTCAGCTCCTCCAGTCTGCAAGAGTCTCAATCCACGCAATTTACGGGGTTTTCTGTGGCGGTCCGGCCAAAAACCTCGTAAAAGCCGATGGTCGAAAAAGTTACCAAAAAGCTGGTAATATTTTGTTGGATTTTTTCTTTCGGCTTTTGGGGGCTTCAACATGGCTCAAAAAGATGGTGTTTACACGGGTTTGTGCACCTTCCCGGCACAAAACCCCGTAAATTCGGATGGTTTTGGGCTATGTACGCTTCAAAGTGGCCACAAACACCGTAAATACAAATGGTTTTAGCCGCTCCAGTCTTCAAGAGTGGCCTCAAACCACGCTATTTACAGTGTTTTTTTTGGGGGGGTGGCGGTTCAGGAGAGAAACGCATAAAAACCGATTGTTTTTGAAGTGTCTAGGCTTCAAAAATGGTCGGGACAGATGGTGTCGGAAAGTTTTTTTTCCCTCTCCGGTTTTTGGAGCTTTCAACTGGCCAAACAGGACGGTAGTCTGGAAAGTCCCGGATTACTTCTGATTCCTTGCTACCTTTCGTTCACCTCCTCCTCTCTCAAGTCGTTTGGGCAGCTTTGGCTGGTCCTTGCCGACCTTGGATGGGCAAAGCGGGAGCATTCAGGTGATAGATGTTCCGCATATTGGTGCACTGGTCTGATGTTCCGCGCTGCGGTGACAGCTGTCCGTGGCGTGTCTTTTAAACCCATACACCTGCCTTCTGGGGCCTATGCCGGTTGGATCCGGTTGGCGCTCTGGGGGCCTTCTGCCCCGAGCCGCCTGCCTCCGCGCGCTTGAGGGCGCGTCCTCCCTTTAGTGTAGGTAGCGCGTGCGGCACCTGCCACCTCATCAGCGTGCAGGGGAAAACAATTCAAAAAAAATATTACAGCCCACCCCCCGTGGCATGGATTTCTCAGTACAGACACCCCTCACTACGGGTCGTTTTGTTTTGCTAGCACATCGATCTTTATCGTGTTTGTATGTTTTTTATGTATCAACGGCGTTTCCGATGTGCATCATTTCATACAGTGCGCGGACCGTTCTGTTCTTGGAGGTCGTATATGCTGCGGGCTCTGCGTTTTATGGTTGGAATGCCCGACATCTTTCTTGAAAAGGGACGCCCATTGCTCCGTTTTCGTCCCCGTTCTTATTTTGATTGCTCATGTGTTCGCGCAGCGGCGCTCTGCAGCCTGCAGCGGCACCGGGTTCAGCCCTCAAAACGCGAGCAGGCACCGTCAGCCATATGGGAACATAAACCCCCAATGACCCGAATAGTTCCTGCCAGTTTGGGACGACCGGCCACAATAAAACAGAAATGCTGAGAGAGTTGCAGATAGGACGACGGACGAAGAGATAAACATATCAGGACAACAATGACAAGCCACCCTCAAAGCAGAACAGTCAGTCAGTCGTTTTTCACCAATGGACATCGCCCCTTTCAGTGTTCTTGTTTGCCTGGCCCCAATTGGCCCAATGCCACACATGTGCGTGTCCAACGCCCCTGCCCACCATGCCCCTGCCATCAGCGCCGCCGCCCTCGGAAAGAAACATCCGACTCGCCGACCTATTTTTTAGGCGGACGCCACGGCGTCACCCTGTCAGTGTGCAGCCATTTGGTTGCACGAGTCACGGGCCCCTTTAGGCCACCCCGGACGTTTTCCGATTGTGGCGACGCCCACCGTAGCTGTGTCATACCGTGTCCATGTCCTCACCGCACACTGCTGTGACCAGCGCGGTGCCATGGCAACAACCCCAAGACATGGCCTCCGCCGCCCTGCGCCACCGCTGGGGGTGCGTGCCCTCCCTCGCTGCACAGGGCAGCCTCGCCACCACGCTATCTGAACTCCCCGAGCAGGGGGGCGGCGTGCCTCCCACGAAAGTGTCCCACCAAAGTGTCGCGCAAGATTATCCCACAAGATTGTCGCGCCAAAGGTTGGCGCCTGGCGCTAGAGTTTTAGAGTGTCCCACAAGAGGTTTCCACCGGACTGGGAGACGCAACGTGTGCTAGGCCACCTGGTGCTTTGCACAGGTTGACCCCGCACACTGCCCGAGTTTGGCGGAAGGAATTCCCACCAGAGTGTCCCACAAGAGCATTACCCACAAGAGTGTCCAACAAGAGTGTCCCACAAAAGTGCACTCAAAAGTGCGGCGCGAGAGGTCGCGAGAGTGTCCCACAAAAAGTCTTCCACAAGAAAGACTGGCACAAGAGTTTGCCACAAAAGTGTCCGACAGGTCCGACAAGGGTGCCCCACCAGAGTGTGTTTTCCAGACGCTCACGGCGGGCCGGCTCTTCCCAGGCGGCCCGGCCTCTGACCCGCCTTGCGTCACCGCTGGGTGAGCTTGCCCTCCCTTGCTGCGCAGCGCTGCCTGGCCACCGCACTGCCCGAGCTCCCTTTCGAACAGGGGCGGAGCGCCATGCCACAGCCGTTTTGGCAGAGCTGACTCAGGACGCGTGGTGGGGCTCCCCTGAGGCGCTTGCCTTGTAATTACATATCCCGCCGTGCAGCCCGTCGATCCTGCAAGTCCCACAAAAGTAAGAAAACTATATCTCCTACCAAAATGTTTTTCCCCACGCGCAGGCCTAGGCGGCAAAAAAAAATGTCCCACAAAACTGCCTCTTCCAAGAGCATTTGTTTTCTCAGTGCGTGTGTTGCATTCGGGGTCGTCGGTTCCACCTTGTAAACATGTGTAAACAATGTGTGGCTGGTTTGGAGGCGCGCGGCGAAAGGTAGCAACACCTCATCAATGCTTGGTGGCTCAAAGCTTCCGTCAAACGAGAAGATTAACAAAACACCATTAGTCTAGAATTGTCAAGGGGTACGAAATCTATGGAACGATTGTGTTTTGTTCAAATGGCTACATGTTTCTAAGGAAGGGTCTGGCACACAGAGCCCCGGCCTTGTTCCACGCATCCGCAGGCAGAAAATCGACCAACATTTTGCGCAACAAACCGTCAAGCCATGGTGGAAGCGTCCTCGTGCGACACGTCGAATTGGGTGCTAGAATACCGAGAGTTGTCTGGAAACCATGTCTTGCAAAATTTGTTTTGTTGTGAGCGTTTGATTTGTGAGACCACGGGGTCGCCACCGGATGCCACCAAATCGCCAGATGATGATTTGAACGTTGCGGAGGTTGAAATCAAAGAGCATTCGTTACCACAGCTATGGAAGGGAGCAGGTCCCATCCACAATGTATTATCTTTCACACTTCAGATGGGAACATTGTGGAAAAACATGAAGAGCACTGGAAACTAAAGCAAATAAAACAGTTCTTCCATGTTCTTCCATTTCATTTGGGATTTGATGGGATTGCAAAAATGGCAGCGGTTGGTTTCCGTACTGCTTGAAAAACAGGAGCGAGGGAAAAACACAAGTGCCACGAGAAGGAGACACAAAATACCGTGAATAAGCAAAGCAAAAGTGACAGGAAAGGGACAACCAAACAGAGAAGGACAAACGCGACCAAGGATAATAACGACCAACAAACAAACCCAAGGAACAAACAAAAACAAATTACAAGGAAAAAACAGGTATAGAACGATGAGGAACGTGACAGGTATATAAAGAACACAAACACACATGGAAAAATCCAAGACAAGGAACGGAACAAACATCACAACAAAAACAGTTAAAATAAGTTGCCTCCATAATGCCGCAGCAGATATCTCAAACGTTTTTTTGATGTTGCATATGTTTTGAAATGTTTTGTCGATTCAGTGTGCTTTCAGCTGGCCATTTGGTCATAAATCGCGTTTTCCATTTGATTAATTGTGTTGGTATCATCACCAAAACTGGTCTGCACCATAACAATTGTTGCCACCAGAAACTCGGGCAGCCAGCAACAATTTGCAATATAGCACTACTCCGAATCTCCTTTCCTCGCTGGTTTGGTCAGTAGTTGACGATGGTTGAGGCCGGTTGAGGTCCGACGGATCCTCTTCCAGCAAGTTTTGGGTTCAGAGTCGGCATCGGCCTTTGAACCTGTTACGGGCCCCATGTTCGCCCGAGGATCGGATTCACCCTTTTCCACGACACCTGGAACACGACGAAGGGCGCTGGCACGCGATCCTTCCAGTGAGAACCTCTTCGTGGATATTGGGGCCAACCCTGAATGTCCGCAGAGCGACTCTTGGCGGTAAAGTCACAAGGTATTGTTGGCGTGGAGGTGCCCGCCTTCACCCGTGTCAAATATTGTACAGATCTAGCCAGGCAGTTGAAATTTTGATCCAATTGCTTTAACAAAAACAGTTGAATTTGTGAGTGTCTGCTGTTTCTCGGCTCGGTGTAGCTGCAAAAGCAACGTTTCACCCCCGAACCTTGTGCAAAAAAAAAGGAATGAAAGCATACAGAACCCCGGGCCTAGAACCCCAGGCCAGTAGCGCAAACCATTATTCAATTTTGTGACTCGACCTTATCATCAGCATACGGCGAATTTAAGAAAGGCACTTCGCTGCTTCCGTCCTGCCATTCATGTCTCTTTGGTTCGCGGCGGCCTCTTTGGGTACTTGCGGGAATCTCGTGAAATGTGACCCTTGGGAGGTGCGTGAATATGAAGAACACAGCAAGGAGGGCGTACCTGTGGAGACTTTGCCGCTTTTGTGGCCTGGAACGAAGTGCGTGTGAGATGGTCAGGTTTTTAACTTATACAAGTGTGATAAGTGTGAGGACTATTCAAACTCGGCCACTTCGTAGAGTTCCACCGCTGGGAGTATGGAGATTTTCTTACAAAAATAATGAGTTCATGCAGTATGCGCTTTATGGAGCCGTCAGGATAGGCATTGGCACGGAAGGGAAATAGCCGAGGGGACGGCCCGAAAATCGATCCTTCGACTAGCCATGATCAGCCCGCCAACTGAAAGGAACCGGAAGGAACAACGTTTTTTTTTTTTCCTTTCGGGGTCTTCCATGGCGGCTACTGCTCTTGAACTCACTGCGTCTTCCAGACTCCCGACCCCAAGCTAGGCCTGCACAGAGAGAGAGAGAGAGAGAGAGAGCGGGAGAGAGAGAGAGAGATAGAGATAGAGATAGAGAGACAAGAGAGACAAGAGAGACAAGAGAGACAAGACTGAGAGACAAGAGAGGGAAGAGAGGGAAGAGAGAGGAAAGAGAAGGAGAAGAAGGAGAAGAAGGAGAAGAAGGAGAAGAAGGAGAAG